AAAGTCTCTCCTTATCTGCTGATTTCAAATTGCATTGCAAAGGAGTGTTAGATTGGTGTCAGAAGGGCACCAATATAGCAAACAGTGTTAAGACTGATATGTGGCTGGACTGAACCAAATCCCAATTTTAAAACATCTATGCAATGTGTAAAAGTCAATGACAGCTTTATTGCTAAGCTCTTAAAAATACAAAGAAACAGAGGAGGAAAAAATACTTTTTCAACTTCTCAGAAAACACAAGGCACAGAGGAAAAGAGCTGAGAGAGAACGCAACAAAGGGCAAGGGAAGATTGATGAGACAGAGGAAAGAACTGGACACGAAGCGCAAGAGACGAAAGACCACCAAAGTAAAACAGGAAGTAAGAGATGACAGACTCACAACATGAAAGCGTGACAGAGAGACAGAAGATAAACATAGAGACACAGCTGAAGGAACAGAATGGGAATAGAAAGGGGCTTTAACAAACGTATCATCAGTTAAAGCAAGCAAGCACTAAAGTAATGGAAAACAGGAAATTCAGAAGACTAAGGAGCTAAGCTAAGTCCTATGCCAAAACCGAATGAACCGAAAAAACTTTGGAACAGGAGAAAAAAAACAAGGACAAACAAGAATACACACTTAGAGAAAAACTTAAGTGTCCCACAGAAGCCAAAACCCTGTGTCCAAGCCTACACTTACAAGTTATGTTTTTGTTTTTTTCATGCGCCATCCTACAAAAAAAAAATCAGTTGCTTCTGTGTCTTCTCTTGTGTATACTACATTTGTTGCGTCATTACCTGACTTAATAAAATATAACAAACATGTTTTCTTTTTCAGACTTTACTTTCCCTCTGTACTGGGACCCCATGGCTGCCAATGAGACTATGAAGGTGGTTTCTCTGGAGACTTCTTCTGCAGAGTATCAGAGTGTGAAGGAGGCTTTCAAACGAACTGTCCCCAAAACTGTGATGAAGGTGGGTGGCTTTTCCTGCACAAGTACAAGTACATATATACACAAGTACATGCATACAAGCTGAAAAAGTTGATTGTGTGGTTACAGTGCAAACTGGTGAGCATTACTGGCTGTAATGTGGTCTGCTTAACTGGTCAGCTATCATGATACATGTTAACATTCAGGGATTGTATTAAGTGCACCAGACTTTATATCAACAGTGCATGTGGTCACTAATTACATATTTTGGTAACATAAAAGGTGTAACAAAAATATTTATTCTTATAAATCTCGGATTCCCATTCTTATAATTCTTTTTGTTCTTATGTTATTGTATTTTGCACACCTCTGTTGCTTGTGAAGCTTGCACACAAGAATTTAACTCGCAGGGTCTGTACCAGTGTACCTGCACATGAAAACAATAAAAGTGATTTTGATCCTTTTGTGTCCACACGTAAAACATGATTGAATTTAATTAATTAATTTAGTAAATTTATATATTAAAATCAAAATAAAAAAAGAGAAATACAGGAAATTAAAGAAATCAGTCACATTGTATCAACAAATTAATTGCCACATTAAAAAAATAAATACATTTTATTTTACTTTATCAATCAATCTATCTATCTATGTTGGATATTTGCAGTTTCTGGCCACCATATCTCTGTGGTCCATTGAACCGATGTCAATGTATTTGCTCAGAAATGCTATGAAAAATTCAAACTCCAAACCCTACCTGAGAAATATCATGTTTGTAAAGTGTTTTTTTATTTTAATTTTTAAGTTTCTAGTTTTCAGATTTGCAGTAAGAAAGTCATTAATTATTCACTGCTGTAATCTAAACTTCTCATACCTGAAACACATGCCTCAGTTTATGGTTACCACCATAAAGACATGAACTAAGCCATCAGATGTAATTAATATCCACACTGCTTTGTTTGGCATCTCTTTGATCATTTGGCTTCGGTCTCTCTTGTCAGATTGAACGTTTGCAGAACGTTCACCTGCGGCGCGCCTATGAAGCCCAGAAGAAGCACATTTCTGATAAGAACGCACACGAGGGAGGAGCAGCGGAGAAACCTCTGTACCACGGGACAACTCAGGAAAACTGCCACTCCATCATGACAACTGGATTCAACAGGAGTTTTGCTGGGCAAAACGGTGATAATTGTTACTGAACAAGACAACATTTTTCTGTTGCTTCAAAACGAATCACTAGTGTTGACGTTGTCTTAGAAATTATTACCTCCTATACACCAGGGTTTTACATATACATGTAAGTCTTTACAGCTCGGATCACTCTGACATTGTGTCTATATTGGTCCACCGTTATGTGGTGACAGATTGATCATTTGCAGACTGCTTCAAGTATTTTATAGTCTTGAATGTGGTTGTATTTAACCATCATTTATAGACACAAACAGGACTCTTAGGATATTAAATGCAAGACTTACAGGACTTACAATACTTACGTAATATATGTTGGAAGTCACCATGTTTTATCTATGATAACCTATTACTAATTTCCTTTTTTTTCTTCCTACATTCAGCAACTGTACACGGTCACGGGACCTACTTTGCTGTAAACGCCAGCTACTCAGCCCAGCCCACCTACTCCAAGCCAGCTGCTGATGGTTCTCGGTTAATGTTCGTCGCCCGAGTCCTCACAGGCGTCTTCACTCAGGGCCAAGCTACCATGAAGGTGCTTCCACTCCGAAACAGCCAGCAGCCTCACAACCGCTTCGATAGCGCAGTGGACAAAATTGATAACCCTACCATGTATATTGTGTTCCATGACAACCAAGCATACCCCGACTACCTCATCACATTCAAAGGAGATTAAGGGAAAAGTATTTTCTACTGTGGAAAAATGAAGGTTTCTGAAAAATCCAAAAAGAACAATATTAAAGTTATATTTATAACTACATAAAGATTTGTGTAGTAACTGGAAGTGTGTGGAAAAGTTACATTTGTAAAGGACCCAGAAACTTTGTCATAGTTTACACTAAATATTTA